ATATATAAAAGAACCGTACAAGAATAAAAATTTACGTTTTTATTTTTGCATCTAAATATGATACAACTGTACGTGTACTTCTCAGTGCATAACTTGTAAATTAGCAATTGTTTATCCATACACTGATGCTCCTTTTGTATACATGTTATCTTGACTTGTAACTTCTGTATAAAATTTATGTAATTTAACTTTATTTAACCCCTTTGAAAAATATCAGAATAAAATATTTATATATCAGTTAGTATGTATTAATTAAAACAACAACAGAAGTGTGGGTCTTACTAAGTAATGATAGTAAGAAAGAAATTACAAAATTCTTACGATAAGCCTAAAACTATCAAAGTGGTACTACTAGTACGTACAAATGACAAAGTTTTCCTTATAAATACTAAATCATATTTTTATTATGAACAAAATTATTGAACTTAAAACTGCAAATTTAAATACAAAAGTATATAAAAAAATCACAAATTCTTACAGTTCAAAGTCCTAAGCCTACTTCATGTAAAGACCTTGCACACGCCACTCAATAACTGTTAACCCTAACAATTGTGGATCAACTTCTTTCCTAAAAAATATATCTATTTTGAGTTAATTTTTCAATATAATGATTAATATAAATAGATATACGATGCAGCATGACTTAAGCTACTATATAAAAATAATAAAAGTCACGTACATCCCATGCAGTTTTTTCCAGAAGCAGCTTTTCTAACGCTTATAGAAAAGCCCTATTGGCCAGTACTAAATACAATCTCTACATAAAATGGCAGTTACTATAATAAGCACAAACCACGTTCATATTGTAAAATCCAGAGAACAACGTTTCATCACGTGCTTTCCTTATCATACTATGATTTGTCAAATGGGAGATACGACAATTGGAATAATTGGTACTGAAATTGACACTTTCGACTAGGATTGGCTAAAAGTTTTACAACTGAGGTTTAACACGCCCAGACGCAGTTTTATAAAGAAAACAGACTAGAAAAAGGTTTATGTACCAATCATAGATGGGAAGACCAGTGCTGAAGTGAAAGGAAATTCTTTAACAAATTTTTTCAAAAAACATTTCTTCTTAGAGGGCGCTTATTTATAGTCTAAAACGTATTTTAAGAATTTTTTCATTAATTTCCTCTTTAAACTTCATTAAATAATACAATTTTGTACAAATAATTGAATGTTATGCTATTATTTACAAAAATAAAATCTGAAATCCAATAAGAGATGAGTTCTCTATCATTTTTTCAATTCACAAATGATTTTGCCCTCACAATAAGACAAAATGGCCCCGGCAAGTATCGGGTTAATCTAAAGAGAGAAACAAAAGCTATCTTTAGAATTAGAGGTTGAACTAATGGCCTAGGTATGGAACGGGATCACTGTCAATAAAAATAATTAAACCTTATAACACTTTACAGCTTAAAAGAGTTAAGTTTATCTTTCAAAAGACTGATATAAAGACGTTTGAGATGTTGACCATACAAGAAAGGATTGTGGTGAAAAGAGAGTGAAAGGAAGATAAGAACTACAGCTTGCTGCGGCATTGAGTCGATTTGTTATATATGTATCAACCTCCGTCAATTTTGACTTATTACAGCTTTCTAGAAACGTAAACAGGCTGTTTCATTTTATTTGTAAGGGGTAAATTGAAAGAAAGTGAGGAATGGAAAGGGATTGTTTGCATAAATGATTGTAAATTAGAACTGAATGAAATCTAACAATTCTTTGGATTTTATAACAAAATGAAAGCGTCACTTTAATCGAAAATAAAAAACGATTAACGAGTAGATCAACCATTTCCATTTTGTTTGTTTATGACACCTTGTAATGCAGTAAAAATAAAATTACTGAAGAAATTTTAAGATACTTCAAATAAAAGTACAGTAGTTTGAGATATGGGAATTGTTGAAAGAAAGTGGAATTTTAGATTTATCTCTTCACTCTGAAGAGTTCAAAATAAATACCTTCAAATATTGCAACAAATTAATTGCTACATGAAAGGATATGTGTTCATATATGTAACTAATTCTCTTAACCTTTAATTACAAAATTAAAAATATTTTAAAATACTTATACATTTTTTCCTTAATTGCTGAAGTTATTGACATTAAAACTTAATAGTAAAGGAATTTATGCAGCCCACACTCAATCTTTATTGGAAATAGGAATATCTGTATCTTCCTGTAATTTTTCAATGTATGTTTATGTTTCAGATAAAACGTAACTATATTACCTTCTATAGATTTATTTTGTGTACAAAACTACACCAACGGGCTTTCTGCACTGTCTCCACCAGGGAAATGGATCTCCGAGTTTTTTGTATTTGGTTTGAGTTAAGGACAAAACTACACAAAGTGCTATCTGTGCTCTGCCCACCACGTGTATCGAAACCAGGTTGTAAATCCACAGACATACCGCTGGGCCACTGCGGACCCAGAATTTTAGAGTTATGAGCCCTTAATTTACTGTTGAGCCAACAAGAAATATATAGAAAAGAATCGTTCTTTTCTTTTTATATAATAATGAGAAAGTAACGAGGCAAAACGAACATTAAGTTCATAATATTGAGAGGAAAAAACTGTAAACCTTTTTGCATCACGAAATCTAATTATCCGCCATAACTGGATGTTTATTATTATTATCAGGTTTACCAGCTCCAAAATCTAGAGCCCCTCGCCCTTTATTAGTAAGATCTTCTGATAAAAAGTTGGCCAACTATATAGATCAGAACTAGAAAGTATCTTGTAAACTAATGAAATCAATCTTATGTAAGAAACTAACTAGAAGTACTTAATGTTATTAATCAATGCACAATAAAAGTAAATCCTCTATTATTAAAGTGGTTTAAATCATCATTTGGATATTGTCGCTGTTAGCGATATTTTCAGTTGTATTATTAAACGTATGCGAATTTTATGAGCATCCATCATGTGTTACCAGCAAAAAAGAACTAAATAAACAATAAGTTTAATAAAAAATACATTTTTTAATTTAAGTAACAGCCTTTTTTTGCTCTACAAAATTTCGAGCTAACTTTCCTGAAAAAGTTTAGCAGAAAGTATCAAAATCATGCCATGATGTATATTCCCCTTTGTTGTGAGATAGCGAATTCTACTTTTATTTTGCTATTGTTTTGTTTACCGTTCATTTATTATTTTTTCTATCGTTTAGTTCAGCTGGGAAAGTTTAGTTACATTAAAGCACAAACCCACCTTCTATATAGAACACGTTTATTTTGAGTATGTATATATTATGAGACAAAAACACGTTTCCCGTAGCTGTGACGTACAGATATTGATGTTGTGAAAGATTAAGCAGATATATAGTAATAGCTAGTCAAATAAGATGTAACCTCATGGTCAAACCACTAAACAAACAGCTTTCCTTGATATTGAAAAAAAAGAGTTAGTTCACGAGATATAGTTAGAAAGAATTAATGCTCGATATTGTTCTTGATAATGAGAAGTGGTTTAATTTTAAAACATTGTGTTATTTTCTTGTGAATTAGGTTTTTTCTGACTCTTTTCTCTAATTCCTTTGATATTTATTAAAATTAATCATATTAAAATCTATGTTGTATTGCATATTAACGTTTGTACCTAGAAGATCCAGACATGGGCTTACTATTGTTTTGTTTTTGTAAGTGATAACATTTGTATTCTAGTTGTTTAAAGGTTTTTTCTTTCTACTATTATATTTAATAAATTGTTTTTGTTTGACCCTAGTTGTAGCGGCTTTTTATTTAATCCTTTACACTGTCACAACTTCAATTTAAAACGGCCCGGCATGGCCAGGTGGATAAGGCGCTCGACTCGCAATCTGAGGGTCGCGGGTTCGAATCCCCGTCCCACCAAACATGCTCGACCCTTTCAGCCGTGGGGGCGTTATAATGTGACGGTCAATCCCACTATTCGTTGGTAAAAGAGTAGCCCAAGAGTTGGCGGTGGTGATGACTAGTTGCCTTCCCTCACTGCTAAATTAGGGACGGCTAGCGCAGATAGCCCTCGAAATTCAAAAACAAACAAACAATCAATTTAAAAAATTTGAATTGTTTCAGAAAGATATTAATAAAAAAAATACTTAGAATGTCCAGGCACTTTATTGATTATATGTGAATTATGTCAAAACTGAATACCATAAGTATTTGCAGAGTAAATTACAATTTATATTTGGTTTGTTTTGAATTGCGCGCAAAGCTACACGAGGGCTGTCTCCACTAGCCATCCCTACTTATTAACCAGTTACTCTTTTAAAAATAGCAAACAGTTTCTTTTTCAAAACTGAAAAATACGTAAAAGTTATACATTTTTTGTTAATCTTTATTTATTGATATATTTTATTCAGAACCGCCTTATTTCGGAATCTGAAAAGATTGAATTGGGCCACAAAGCTGAAGAGACCTCTAACACTTTGCTCCTATTTTTAAAAGCTTAAATTATGAATAATATTACTAAAAGTTTACTCTTGTTTTATTGTAAGATAACTACTCACTGAGGAATGCTCAATTAAGGCATAACGTCTTTTGTATCATCGCTGTTCATCAAGAAAAATATGATATAAAACACATTTTCAACTTTGCCTAGTGGCACAGTGGCATGTCTGCGGACTTACAACGCTAAAATCCGGTTTTCGATACCCGTGGTGGGCAGAGCTTAGATAGCCCATTGTGTAGCTTTGTGCTTAATTACAAACAAAAAACTGACAAGGAATGTTTGCTCAAAATGCACAAAAGACAAATGTGGGTTGTTTTTATATTTGCATGAATTTTTGTTATAGTACTTCGGAAGTTGTTTGGCCTTTCTCAAAATTATTTTAAACAGATTATGCCCCAATAGGATAATGTTTCAGTTAAAATATGGCAAATTATGATTATGATTGATACCTATTTTTATTTTTGTCTCTTTTTTTTTCTTTAAGTTAAATACTTTTGCTTCCTAAACTTCGATATTTATATAAAACCTCCCTCTGTCGAAATAACCTGAAAATATACATTTTATTTTTATACAAGGATTTGTAAGAGAGGTAAAGGTGAGGTTGTATAATAAAATGAAATATTTGAAATCTAACGTATCTTTAACTTAGAGAATTAATTATAGTCACAAATATTAAATAAGTTAACTATTATTGCAGTGTGTTTTCTCGTTAAATTTTGTTTTTATGAACTTTAACTTTTGTTTCAATAGAGCTTGGCTTTAGACTAGTTTTGTAAACTTGATATTAGTAAAGTAAATCTAAAATGTGTAAATTGTAACTGTTACTAGTGGTAGTTATATTTTGATTTTTGTTATACGTTATATAACTATAAGTATGAGATTAAGAGTAAGAGAGTTATACGAAAGTTTCATTTTTCGGGCTCCATACTTTATTCACTAACTTAAGTAGAAATATTAAACTTTCAGCCGTCATTAGGTACTTCAACTGAATTTGTTTGTGTTAATCATTCATACGGAAGGATATCTTTTACGATATTTAAATTAATATTATATAATAGCAATACGAATAAGCGTAGGCAAGCCCAAGACCCACGTTTAAGTTTTAAATTTGAGCCTGGCTAGTAAAATGTAGTACTAGGACTCAGTAGTACTATTCGTGTTGATCATGAAATTGGAAACTAAAGTTTAGTAATACAAAAACGTACTTTAAGTATATTACCATACCTAGTATTTTGTCCTCTATACTATGCTAAGGTATATATTTCATCAAATATAAGATATGTATGTGTAGCATGGGCTGAACAAAGTTGGCTCATTCTGCAATAGTTTTGTAAATTGTATGGAGTCTGTAGCTCCAGATGAACATTGTATGCTAATGCATGCTGATGGACACAACAAACGTTAAGAATTTAAATTATCATAAAACAAAATTAAAATTAGCTTTATAACCATAAAGTATACAGCAAAGTGATTTTAATATGAAAGAGGTTTTATAAAGGTTTTCTTATGTTTTCATTTTTAATATAGCTACTTTCACCTAATCTTTCTATTTGTTGTTTTATTTAGGAAAACCTTGAAGTAATGTCAACAATCTTGAATGTTTTGATTGGTGTTTTAGCAGTTGGAGCTGCAGTTTTCCTAAATTATCCAGCTCCACCGCAATCACCCATAGTTTACCAATGGCAAAGCCCAGGAAAATTCATGCAGTACAAAGAGAAGAATATATTCTATAAAGGTACATTAATGTTACCACTAAGAAGATTAAATTGAAGTTTTGACTATTACATAATAAATCTAACAAGGGACTATTTGGTCTTTCAAGACTGTCCTTTCACACACACACACATTTAAAAAAAAGTAGAAATTTAAGCAAACTCTTTATTTTTTAGAAAATCATCAGTTACCCTTATAAACTCTTGTAAAAGTGCTGGTCTCCGTTATTGCTGATGGCAACTTATTTTGTAAGAGTTTCACCTGTTAGAAGAATAAAAATGACTTAGCTAAAACCTAGCCTGTGTTTTACAAATTTTAAAACTTGTATTATCTTGTCTTATTATATACAGAATATATTACAAAATAATCAGTCTTTTATCCAATCAATCCCCCCAAATAATCTTATTAACTTTGGTAAGATCACATCTTACCCTTTTATTTTTCAAGAAAAAATAAGTTAATATATCTTAATCTATCCATGTAAGATATCCCTTCCATCCCAGGAATTATCCTAATAGTTCTATTCCGAGTCCTTTCTAAAATATCAATATCCTTTATTAAATATGGGGACCAAAACTGTACACAGTATTCCAGGTGAGGCCTAACTAGTGATCTTTATAAAGAAATAATAATAATTATTATTTAAAACAATATGTCTATAAATATACACTTAAATTCTATTATCTTTACAATGAGCAATGCAGCACTGTTTAAATTTCCCAAGTCAAAAGGATTGATAGACCCCTCTTTTGCAGTCTGTATGTGTACTAAAAATCAGAATCAAGCAAGTTTTTGCCCATTTTCTTTGCATGAGATTTCTGTACATATTGAGCTCACATGCATTACATTTTGATAGATGTACTATCCAAGTCATATGCCTTTCAATGATAATTGTAAACAGTGTCGAAACATAATTGTAACATACAGTAGAGGTGATTTAATTTATGACATAAGAATGATGGTGGTATGTAGAATGCTTGATATTTTTTGTAACTGTTAGTGTTCAGTCTAGCCAAGGAACAGAATTAGTTGGGAGACTCGTGAGTCCTAGGTTTAAGTCTGCTCACACTCAGTATTTATTTAGTGAGGAGTTTTTATTCATGGACTCAAATCCAACCATGTTTTAGAGCATTAGATGAGCAAGTCTTGGGCTCAAATCTAGCTATTATTGAGCATTAATTAAGTCTTGAGTCCTGAGATCATACTTAGCCAACTGTAGAACCTTGGTAGAAAGACTAAGATTCAGACCTAGTTATTGAAAAACATTGATTGATGGTCTTGGATTCTGGATTCTTGGCTAATGATTATAGAATATTGAATGAGGGAACTTGGATTCAAAACTAGCCATGGTAGAATATTGGGTGAGAAAGTTTTCCATTTTGAATTTGAATTTAATCCTGATAGAGCATTGGTTGAGAGCTTGAAGGTCTTGGATTCTGGGTTCAAGTCTAATGATTGTAGAATACTGCCTCAGAAATTTTGGGCTCAAAAGCAAGCAAGGTTTAAAGTTTAGCCATTTTTTGACAGTGGTTAAACATTTATTAGGCTCAAATCAACCTAAGATAGATCATTGGTTGAGAGATTTTGGGGTTGTAGGTTCTAATATATCCATTATAAATTATTGTTTGACAAAATGTCAGGCTTTAGGCTCAAGTATATAGCTCAAGATTTCAGTTAAGTTATAATAAAACTTTGGTAGAGTGCACCTGGATTCTGTATTTAAGTCTAGTCATAGAGCATTGAATGAGAGTATAATCCTTTGGATTAATCTAACAAGTGCAGAATTTCCTATAGCTCTCTTTTAAATTTGTTTATTATATTATTTGAAAAAATACAGCTTTTAAAGAATGTAATGCTTTCTGAATAATACATTAGAAAGCATTTAAAAAAATAAAATGTATATACCATAATGTTCGAAATATAATATGCTCCCAAATTTAATATGTACTCTAATCTTCGCGAACAGAGAGTCAGATTTGCCTTATCACCATAAATAATACACTACTAAACTTTTGCAATACTGCAGTCAAAGTAACCCTTTGATGACAAGAATGTTAGCATCTGTATAATCTCCAATTGCACATTCGCTGTAGTGCTTGCTGTCTCTGCAATCATGGCCGACAAGTAAACATTCTCAAAAATCTATTTACAATTGGTGTTCATTAGTCATGGTTCTCTGTAACAGCTTTACAACAATGGGGTGTGTGTAATTTGTTCTGAAACATTTCCTCCCTGTGCGTACGTAAAGATGGCAATTTTGATTTTATAAGACCTATTTAAAAATTTACCATGAAATCAAAGCCTATCACAATAAAGCTTCATTGGCTGTTTACAGTCAAGTACTGTTTTGATTTCATAAGGTCGATTTAAGGATACAAGTAACAACTCAGGACAGAAATCCTCTTAACTCTCACTATGGGTTCAGTCAATTCGACTGATCAAGTGACCCTAAATTGACTTTCAGAGTTTCCATACTATAACTTTTAACATGTTTTGTGGATCTTCACAAAATTTTTTTTCCTTTTAGTAAACATTACAAGTCTTTGATAGACAAAAAAATCAGAATTTTTAATTAAGTATTTTAATAAAAATTTTGTCTCAGAATATATGGAATAAATGTCTTAAATGCTCCAATTACAAAGTAATTTTCATATAAAGATTAAAAATACTTTTCTTCATCTGAACATTTTCAAATTGTATTTGCATAATATCTAAAACCTCCTAGATAAACATCAAACATTTTTTCTTCAGAAAAACTGTATATTTTATATGTTGTTCTCACTACCCTAACTCTTTATGAGGTCGTATAACTGTTATAATTTTTCATGCTTTCTAACTATGTGATAAAAGCCTTTAAAGATTCAGCTAAGCTCATCGATGTGATTCCTGTGAGAAAGAATTTCAAAGTGAATGATAAAATAAAGAATACTCTGTACAGAAATCAGCATAAAATAATATGCTATTTGAGAGATTAAAACTTTGTCTTTCTATTGGTTATAATAAATAATATAGTATAAAATGTAAGAGAACTATTGGCAATTTGTGAAAGAGAGGATGTGACAGGTGTGCATGTAACGTAGGTATTATTTCCTAGTTTATGACTCTCAAAGTGAATAAGGGTGAAGGTTATAAAACTTTTGCTTTGCCTGAATAATATCTGTATTATAGTGAGTAACAGTAGTATATAAAGTTGGATTCTTGGTACTGGTGTCTTGAGTTACATGTTTAAACTGTTACAATGGCAACCTTCAAACTTAAGGTGATAGAAGTTGCTGAAAACTATGGTTACAGGGTGGTGGAAAAGGAATCTGAGGTCAATGAGGCAAATATGTGACCCAAGTCCCAAGGTAAGCAAACTAAGATCCTGGGTGTGGAAGGAAGGCATAGCACCCACAGCTTGAGCAACATCTTTTAAAATATATTCACCAATGTCGAGTAATTCATTTGAAAGCTCTTCATATCATGAAAGGTTTGAATCCCATTAGCACCTTTAAAGCACCTCCAAAGTGGTACTAGCTCTTTATGCAAAGACATAACATATTCATAAGTTGATGCACTTCAATCATGCAATGCATGCCTGATGATTTTGAAGACAAACTATGTGGGTACCAGCATTACCTCATGAGGGTGTGAAAGAAACACTGCTGTAGCATTTCTCATGTTGCCAACATGAATCAGACACTTTTCATCTTTGAAATTCTGTTCAGTCAAACTATGGCTATCAAAGGATAAAAATCAGTCACTTTAAGGTTAACTGGCAATGAGGAGAATCACTTCACCATCCTGCTCAAAGCATATGGAGATGGGACAAAGATGGCATCAGATATTCAAATGAAAAACTCCCAAAGAATGTCACATTGTCACAAGGTATGATTGTCTGTAGACATGAAAAAGCTGGATGGAGGAAGGTTTGACCAAAGACTGGTTGTGTAGTGTAGAGGTCCCTTGCAGGAACATCATATCTGGTCCTTGACACTCACAGGTGTCACAGAATGATATGCATCAAGGATATTCTGCACAGATCTTGTCATCATTCCTAGGGACATGACGGGCTATTTGTAAGTGATGGATGTCAGCTACAACAGCAAATGCACCAAAAGTATGATGAGTGGTTCTACTATGGAGCACATGCACTTACACCATCAGGTAAACAGAAGAAACCAGACCTATTGCTCAGTGTGGCTTTTAGAAGTGTTGTCTCACAAATGCCTTGGGTGATTCAGAAGACAACGTCCTCTGGGATGACAACACTGCTGCAGTAAAGGAAGATAAAGATGGTATTCATGGTGACAATGAAATGGTAGGGAGTTATGACAGCTACTCAAGGACAGTGATTTGAACCCAGAATTTGAAGGATTCACTGAAAACAATATGTTGTTTTGAATATCAAATGTAATGTAGCAACAACTAGTTTTGTATTTCCAAACATTTCTAAATGTCCATGTAAATAATTCTTAAAAATCACAAGACTTAGCTTCTTGATCATTTTATTTCAAAAATCATGTTTAAAGATATGAAAATGAAAGAAAACTGGAGACAATTCACATTTATACTTTAAAAACAGAGAGAATTAATAAGACATACTTTCAAAATGCAAAACTTCTAGTAAGTGTGCTTTATCATTTACAATGTGTTGGAAAAGGTGGTTTGGACTGGCTGTAAAAAAAACATTTAGATTTGTTACCATATATTATATGCACTCTAATTTCTAGATAAACTTTTAGGGTATTATATTTGGAAAACTAGGGTAGGCTATATAACATAACTGTGGAAAAAAATTTTGCTTTCAAGCCTTTATGAAAGAAATATTTTTGATTACAATGAATAAAACTTAAAAACTGAAATATAGAGCTTAAAAACAAATCTTTTTGGATTTATACTGATGTTTTTAAATTTCACTTCATTAATTATGCTATAAATATTCGATGTCAATATTTATTTGCAAAAATTTCACACTTTTCAGTTTTTGATTTGTTTACTGTGCGTGTGAAGCTAATTATATATTTACTAGTATAAAAGCCCATCAAAAATTATTGTTGAATGATTAACGAAGCTATAGAATTTAACTAAAATGAAATTGTCTGTACATCCAAAAGCACCTACTCTTCACTTATTTCATCATCTCGAAGTAATTCTGTAATCAACACATTTTTTTTAGGCCAAGTAGGTAATATATGTGTTAAAATGCCAAATATTTATTAATTAACAATTATTCACCATTTAAAACACTGACTATAACATTAGTAATAGTAGGCCTATTTGTAGTCTAATTTAATTATTAGGCCTAGTACATAAATGTAAAGAAAAGCTTAGCTGAAAAACTATTTGATAAATTTTATTTTGCTTTTGCCATTTTGGCTACAACTCAATATGTCATAAAACGTTTGAATTAGACTATTTTGCTGTTATATCACTGAAGTTATATAAAAAAAAAAATCACTAACTATAAAAGGCTTATAATAAAAAAATAAACCTTTGTAACAAATCAACACGAATATTGAGCATTTAACATAAACATCATAGTTGGCCTGAGAACAATTAGGTGATAGTTTTGTTGCTAAGTGATGAAGTATATTGTTGAGCATTACCAAAAATGAGTTTGAAAGTGTTCTTGAGAGTGTAATAAAAGTTAGTGATACCTTTTTAGAATTCAAGCCAAATGTTGTATTGTATTGAAATCATACTTATATTTTTAAAGAGAGTTTGTAGTTTTTAGTAAAAAATTAAATTTGTTCAAATAATCTGAGTTTATTGTGCTTCTTTTATTAACTATTGCTGAAATAAGAATAAATCTGTTAGGAATTTCTCACCATCAGCATAAACTTAATTTCAGATGAGCTAGGTAATGGGACTGGCACTGTTCTCTGTCTTCATGGATTTCCAACATCAAGTTTTGACTGGTACAAGGTATGTTTATGTGTAGAATAGTGCTCATTTGTATATGTAGAAGTTAATCCTGTTCATGTAAGTGTTATTAAGAAAAAACTAGAAAAAATATGTATTAATATCCATTTTGCAGTGTCACCATGTTTCTGGTTTAATGTAATATATTTGTTTTAACACAAGTGATACTTGTGACAGTTTTTGAAATGGTTGATAATGTGATACCTTTAATGTATTACTGATATATAACAACAAGGATTAGTAAATGCTATTGTATGCTCTTCTTACTGGAAACCCCTTATGGGCTAGTTAAGAGCGAGTGCTTTAAATTATTGTACTCTAAGGGGTGATGAGCAATACTGAAGATTGTTCCTGAGATATTATCATCATATAATTATTGTGATTATCATATTTATCACAATAATTAGATTTAGTGGAAAAGATGAAGTTTTAATAACCTGATCAACTGTGCTTTTCCATATGTAAGATTGCCAGTTCTAAATTTTTCATAAAAACAAATATGGAAGATCTGTACATTTAGAAAGTATATGATTTATTTTGCAGTTTTATTGTAAGTAATTGTGCTTCTGGATAATATACAGCATGATATTCTAAGTGCTAACACTAACAATAGCCATCTCTGGAAGTGTTATCTGTGATGACACAGATGATAATTTATTATTGTTGTTCATATTATTTCTAAAGTAAGAAATGCTTGCTTATCTGTTGACGTTGCACAAAATAATAACACATACGTACAAAGAATACAATGTTCTGTAACTATTATAATTTAATTGGATTTCTAACCAAGCTATAGATACATTAAAGTATTTTCCTGACTTGGTTGAGGCGATCTGGATTACATCTCTATAAGTCAAGGTGATTGGAGGCTTTAAGATTATGTCTTAACAATATTTATACCATAAGTTTGTAATTTTGATTAAATCTCAGACCTCAAAATGGTGGCAGTTTGGAGTGAACAGTTCTTATGTGATACAATGAAGATTGAGAATTTATTTAAATATAATCTTTTGAAATTAAGAAATCAAAACTAATTTATTAACTATATTTTGATGCCAATGTGATTATGTTCATTGATAATAGAGTAATTTAATACGTTTTGAATGTAACTCTGTACAATTGTCAAATATCACTTTGACATACCCGTACCCTGAGGGTTAATAAAAATGTGGAAAAAAAAAAGCAGTTTTGGTGATTTCAGTTTTACTGTTACCTCTAAAGAGTATCTACTTGTACACAGTATCTTTAACCACATTGCTGAAGTTGGATGGTGTGAGTGTAGTCAGCTGACCCACATACCAATTACTTTAGCAACCAATCAAACCAATTGAATTTATAGTTTATTCCTACTTTGTGATACTTAGTCTGCATATGCTATGCAGCTTAAACGAGAAGTGAAAAACGATCTTTTTAATCACAATTATAGTAACCTCCCGTATTCAAAGTCTTGTAATATAAATGACTGAAATGCACACTTACCACATTGGTATTAGCACTTGACAGTAAGAATCTGTAAATCTTCGTTCTGAAGTGTGTACCAACAAGTTTTTCTAGTACCATCTAAGTTTTGATAGCAAAACAGCAACACTAACTAACAGTTTGCTAGTTTGGTAGCATTAAGTTTGAGCCCTGTAAAGAGTAAACCTTTTAATATTTATGTCAGAACATTTTGTGAATGTAACAAGATTTGCGGTGGATATGCTAGTGAATAAATATCATTGTTGTTTCAACTCAAACATTTCTTAAAATGAAAGATCACAAGAAATGCTGGTTTATGTTACATAAAGATTCAATGTAATTTAGTTTAAAAGTAGAATCATGAAAATTATTTGAAACATTTTTGTACTGTATGTAAAGATAAATCATTTTAGAGCAATAAATGATACTTTTCTATTTGATAATAATGATTATCATAAATATTGATATATTACCTATTGCTAATATTGTAAGGCTCTTGTTTTATTATTAGTACTGTTTATCCTGGAAGGTTTGTTAATTTCTAGGCAGTAGTTGAAAACACAAATAGTGTAGTTGTGTATCACGAATAGAACATATTAATGAATATAGTAAGAATTTGATGAAATGCTTTGAAATTACATTCATCTGTAGTTATGGCCTGCCTTAAAAAGGAAGTTTGGTCGAGTTGTAGCTTTGGACTTTCTTGGATTAGGATTCAGTGATAAACCGGTAAAGTATAAACAAATTTTGGGTCATTAAAGTTTTCTACTGTTTTGTCTGTAGCTTTTATATTTATTTACAAATAAATTGCAGTGTGGAAAATAACATTTTACTGATGCTTGTTGCATAAATATAAGTTTTGTTTAAAACTTAATGTGTTACTATATCTATTTTGATAGTATTTTAACTGAGTACTGTGAAACTATTTGGTACAGACAGTACATAAAAGAGTCTGTTATTTATCCTTATAATATATCTAAACTTGTAAGTTTAGATGAGCTTTTTTTATATATATGGTCACTAAAGATTTATATCTTATTTTTCTTATCAAATTGTCTAAAATATAATATTGCTTTAAAAATGTAACTTATAAAGGTTTTTCTAGAAATTCTTTGTAACATAAGACTTCCTACTTTTCAGTAATTATTAGAAAATCTTTAAATATTAGCTGTTTATTTATGTAACTTCAAAAGGACAAAATGCTTTAAAAAAATTTTTGTCAAAAGACATCAACATCACCAGTATAAAATTTAATGTATTGGATTTTGAACACTACATAAATTTTAGAAATATATATATTTTTTTTGTTTTTCCCCTGATGTGAAAACTTTAGTTTCTGTTCCCCAAATGCTTTAAAAGCTGATTTTTAATAAAGAATTTAAAGATTTTTTAGCAGTAAGTTTTCATAAAGGTAAGCTCATCTCAAGTAAAATAAAAGTAGCAAAAAACATTTTTTCAATTAATTTTTATTTTGTATTTTTCGGATTTTTTTTAAGTTTGTGAATTACCACAACTGTAAGATAAATATTATTAATACTAAGCTATTTTTATTATATAGCATGTTTAGTTATTCTAAGTCTATGATTATTAATTCAATGAGTGATTATTATACAAAGAATTCAATTGTGAGCAGAAAATGTACCTGTCTTTTTATTTGTACTTGTATGTAATTAGTACACCCAGAAAGTCAGATAGTTATACAGCTTATTAAAAGGGAAGTTATATTGTATGCCTTGTCTGTTACAGACATTGGCGATCATGGTCCTCCATGCACTTCAATCTCTGGTAACCTGTAAAAAATCTGTGTTGGCATTTCTATTTTCTTTCCAGTTAGTGGTGTCCACATATTTGAGCCTTTGCCTTCCTCTGCTCGTTTTCCCTTCCATTTTGCTGTTATTGTAAGATTTTCTTTACCCTCTCTTCTCATAATATGTCATAAAAACTGAAGTTGCCTGTTCTTTATTATTTTCATACTTTTTTTTGTTCATTCATCACAGTAATTCAGTACATGCATTGAGATGTTATTTTGTACATTTTGTTTCTGTTCTATGATGTGTACTGACACAATTCAGTTTTTCAGTAAATGTTTTCACTTACAGCGATTTCACAAATATTCTATTTTTGAACAAGCTTCCATTGTGGAGGAACTTCTGCAAACTCTACAGACTAATAAAGTTCATATCTTAGCACATGATTATGGTGATACTGTAGCCCAAGAACTCATTGCAAGACATTTGTAAGTTGATATATTTGATGCTGTGTTTATCTTACTTAGTGATTGAGCATTTGAAGAATTTAGATGCAGCAATTAATGCACTAAATACATTGAATGAAATATTTGAACATTGCCTAGCAAATCTTTTTTTTAATAGGTTCTAATTCTATTAGTTTAAAAAAGCAAGACATGTTGTTTGATTTGATTGTGTTTTTATTTTTACTGTATTATGGATAACCTTTTACATATTGTTCCAAATGGCATTCATATTTGTTACCTCTCCCCCTTTTTTTTTAAGAGATGCTGCTGAAGAAAAGAAGAATTATGTGAATGTTATGTCTCTGTGTCTTTTAAATGGAGGTAGGAAACTTCAGTTGAAAAACCCTGTTTAAAATATAGTAACCTGGTTTGAGCTAATGATAAATCTTGGTAAGTAACTTGTATTTGGTGTGTGATAAATGGCAAAGTTGAAAATATGACTTTAATATTCGAAGCTTGCTTACCTTTTGTTCTTTTGTACTTAAAAGTTAAAGAGTTAAAGAGTTAAAATTAACATTATTGTTTTTATTTTGTTTATGTCGTATGAAGCATTGATTAAAATTCATCCTAATATTTAATATATGTGTATGTATGTGTGTGTGTGTGTGTGTATATATATATATATATATATATAAAAGCAGAACCACATGTGGCATAGCATCTGAAACTGACCTCCATATAATCATTTTTTAGTTTAATTTTTATAAATTCTAGTCTTACATCTCAAAAGGTGTTTGTATAATTTATAACTCTGTCAGAAGTGTGTGTGAAGGATTGCTAGAAGCGTTGTTCACAATGCCTGACAAAATTGTATGTTTGATTTTTACTTGTATTTGAAGGTTATAAAATGTGTGGACAGTAAATGAAAAAGTTTTACACACCAGCAACATTATTGTAATGAATCAATTCACCATTGAACTGAATCTTTGAAAATACCTTTTAAAAACTTCTCAAACAAGTCTTTTTTTTTTCAGGAATTTTCCCTGCAAAACACCATCCCAGACTGATGCAAAGGGTACAGATCCAAAACTTCACATACCTAAGTTTATATGTATTTTATGAAATACTCTTCTGGTGCACAAATATACCATCATTAATAAGAATTTTTTACTTTTAGTGATAGTTTAGATATGTATTTTCTATTAGAGAATCAAGTATCGAAAGTATTCAAATGATCATTAAAACATTTTGAATGCATTTAGTTACAAAAGAAAGTTATCTGTGAATGTTTTTTTTTCTCACATCTGCAGTTAAGTTGTTTTTTACAACAGTTTTTAGGTCTTGATTTTTCAGTATTTCACCATCTTTTGGTGTTTGAGTGGTAACGTTTATACTTTTACTTTATAATTATCATACTTTAAAAATATCCTAATTTTTTGTAGGTGTGTTTGGGAATATTTTTGTATAAAGGTCTGTAATACATGTTTTTCAGATACTTGTCCTGCCCCTTGTTGGTACAATTCTCTCAAAGTTCATCAATTATTATGTCTTTAGAAATGCGTAAGTTGATGTTAAAACTTCTTTACAAATTTTAAAATCTGTAGTTTTTCACTGTAATTTTAACTGCATGTGTTTTTATACCTATTCATTAGCATGAGAACAAATGCCCCAAAATTGGCATGAAAATATTTTTATCCAAGTTTTCGTTTAAAACAGTAAGTATACTTTCATCACAGCATAATTTAATTTTCATAAAGATTGTAGGCAAAATTCAGATGAAAATTGAACATTTTATTTGTTAAGCATACATTGATGAAGAACTTAATAACAATTAAATTTTTAAAGAATATTAATAATACATTGACTCTTTAGGCCAATGATGGATTAAAAAAATAATTTATATTTTAATACATGGTGTGTAATTAGTGTGCATTGTAGTGAGCATATTACAATATTAATTCTTGATATTTTTCTTACTTCTTACTAATAATCTAGGGCTCCAAAGAGGCTCAGCAGTAAGTGTGAAGGCTTATAACACTAAAAATTAGATTTTGATAGTCATGGTGGGCTCAACACAGATAGTCCATTATGTAGCTTTGTGATTAACGAATAAACTTTGAAATCTTAACTCCAGGTATAAAATCAGTTACTAAGATTAAATTTCTTTAACTCTGTTTTAGCTTGATTAAAAATTTTGATTTGATTTATAAAAAGGTATGTTTTGAAACATTTTCTATGGTTTAAGAGTAGCTATTCCACAATTCTGGATACATAATAATTTTAATTTTGGGCTAGGGATGTGTCAGTAAATTGTTTAATTAGCCATAAAATTGATTAATAAGATTGAACAAATATTTGGTTGTAAACAGCTAATTATCAACAGCAAGAACTTGTCAAATTCTGACTTCAATTATCAAAATATAAAAAAAGTATTGAAATACTAAAGTATTTTTCTATCTGTATATCTGGGTCTTTGTTTCACACTTGAGGTTCTCAAAATTGTAAGAAAAAAAAAAGTTTTACACACTTCCATATTGACATTTCCTCTCCACCAATAAAAATATAGATGGCAGTAGAAACAGCTGTTGAAAGAAGTGTGCTATTTAACAGTTTGGCTAATTACTGAATAATCAGTCTAGACCACCAATCCATTTGGTGGAGAACTTTAGCCACCATGACAATGAAGTTATTTAAGGAATATGAATATTATGTTGCATCATTAGAGTAACGTGGAATATAAAAATACCTTACTTTTATTAATATGGTCCATAATTAGTGTACGTTGCAGTAACAGCAAAATAAGTTTAGGTTTAACTTTGCTTTAATGTATGAAAACTTGGCACAGTTTACAATCAGAATATTATATGACTCAAGATGCTTTAATTCTGATAATGAACTGTCAAAATTTAATTAGCAATTCAATATTATGCTATTCCTTTAATTAGACTTTTTCCAGTGATTGTAGTGAACAAAATGAAAATAATTGTTGATGTTTTCTTTAAATATTGAATATGCTTATCTTTTATATCAACAAAATGTGGTGCATTTACAGTCTAGTAAAGGAGTGAATGTATGTAAATTTTCATGTTTCTGGCTGTGTAGTACAGTCTTTCCAAAGGCGATTAACAGTAAGATTATGTATTACTTAGAGAATGAAAACTATAGTTGTCTGATCAATCTGAGTTAGTTGATTTTTTATTACCAATCTAAAGTTTGTAATTTTGAATTAATTTTATCTATTCATAAAAGTTGGACATAATTTGGAGTTTGCTGTTTTTTTAGTATTTCTTATACATAGACCAAAAATAGAATTAAAACTGGGAGAAGTTATCCTTTACTTTTTACTTCAGATTATTTAGTTGTACTAGATTGTTACCATATAATTGGTTAAGTACATATTTTATAGATCTAAACCAAGTACTTTAAATTAACTACTTATTTTGAAATATCAACTGGTATGTCTATATAAATCTATTGTTTTTTTGTAAACAAATGTTAGTTTTTGTTCCAGCTGATAAAAGTTTTTTTTTTCTTGTCAAGAAATTATTTTCACTGTTTTAAATATATTCAATAATCACCATAGTTTGTTGTATTAGTCTGTGTTTAACATTGGTTCTTGTAGCTAGCCTCATGTGTTTCTTGAAATACAAAACTGATTAATTTAAAGAGGGGGACAAACCTTGGGAAGGATTAGCTCAAAGCAAGGTGTACAGAAATTAATGTGTTGTAAATGAACTGATGTTTAAGTAGATTGTGGTTTTGTTATGATGTCTGAATTGTGTTGTTATACTTCAGGCTTGGGGAGGTGTTTGGACCTGAGACTTGGCCAACTACTGCAGAGTTCCGAGATTTTTGGGGAATTATAAGACATAATGATGGATATCGAGTACTAGGATCGTAAGTGTAACATTTTATTATATTATAATTGATATTGAGAACTAGGGTTATGAGTGTAATATTTTATGAAATATGGTGATAAATAATGAATTATCATCCTAAGTGCAACATTTTATTTTGAGATATTCTGGTGATATTACTACTGAGATCATTATTTGCAATATTTTGTTATGATATATTCTGATGGATATTGATTACTACGGATACCTACTGCATAATTTTACTATAATATATCACAATAACTATCGTAAACATAACATTTTATTATGAGATATTGTGATGTGTATCAAGCATTGGCATTATAAATGTACCAATTTATTTTTATGATTTTTTATGGCCATATGTTAAAAGAAACAAGAGCTGAAAACTTAATCACTTTGATGAAGATTTCAGTAGAGCACACAGTATACTGTTAAATCTAGTGAGTTGCAATGTTTTGTAAAACAGATTGTTTTTTTAACAAATAAGTAGTTTTTAGCAGTTAAATTGTTTATCTGTCAAATAAATACATTCAATCTTTTCTTATGGATATGTATACACGTTTACTACTTATATTTTGTTGATGTATTCAAAGATAATGATTTTCCCACATAGACTTCTGTCTTATCTTGAAGAGAGAAAGACAAATGAAGAACGCTGGGTAGGTGGTCTTCAGAAGACTGTATTGCCAGGTAACTAAATAATTACCAGTAACACATTTTATGAATTTACATAAAAAATTTGCTCTCTATTGAAGTACGTAAATGTACAACAGTTATATTAATGAGAGTATTGTAGTTATACATTAAAAAAATATTAAACTATTCTTTCATTGAATCAACAATGTAAAGGCCTGAAAAAAACTTAAGTTCAATATTTGTTTTTAAGATTAATGAATAAAATAACTCTCAATAGTAATAATATAATTATGAATTTTCAGGAAAAGATTTTGAAAAGCATATTTAAATCAGAAAATTCTACTTTTATGTATGTTATGTAATGAATTTGTTACACACACAACAAACTTACTATACTAGTATCAGTAGGTTAGAGAAATCTGCCTTTACCATGGCTTGAATCATATGGTCCTCAGCTCACTGAAATGTTCTAAGGCTGATGCTGTTACCTACTGAGCTACTAGTACTTGGTCTCAAGCAGACAAATCTCCATCATGACTGTTACATAGTTATCTTCCACTCAAGGCTTTTTCTCAAGCCTACATCACAAAATACAACCTTATGTTTTTATACCATCAACATTTTGGACAGTACTTCCAAGCCCAGAAGCACAGTCTCTCACACACCATACCAGGCCAATTGCTAAACCAAACATGTATACACGTGGTTTGATTCAGCATCTTCTTAGCTTAGATGATTCTCAGGGGTTGGATGACCACTAGTTGGGTACTGTTATAACACATAAGGATGTTAACCCTATCAAGACAGGTAGGGGTCAGAGGGCATGTCATTACATATGCAGACTTATATTCAAAATTTTATTGAACTACTGTTTTATGAGTGTATCTCAATAAGTTTGCCATCAAATTATAGATTATAATTCAAATTTTAGTATTATAGATTAGTTAATTTCTTAATTTGAAAGTAAATATAAAAAGTAGATTGCTAAATATCACTTTTTCTGTGTCACATGGTATGTCATTTTTTGGGTTTTGTCAGATTGCATTTTATGACATCCACAATACAACATCTATAGTTTCATCTGAATTATAAACTCAAATTTCCTATATTGCCAAACTACAGTATAAAATAAGAAACTTCTACATTTTCCATATGCTGAGATATCATAATATTTATCAAGTACACCATTTCATCATTTGAGAAGACTTGTTTATCTACGCCTGCTTTTTATACCTATAAGTTTATAACAAGTCAAAAGTTCTACATAATTCTTTTAGTCTTTCTAAGTTATTTATGAGATAAAAGCTCTTATATTGTTGGAGAGTTTGAAGTATTATGATCAATGCTATTTTCTGAACAGAAATTGGAATTTTTTAAACCCAGATACAACATAGTTAGGAAGCCTGGTAAATTACAGTAGATTTTTGTGGTATCAGTATAGTCATTTATAATTTGTTTATATTCAGAAATTTATATATATATAAAGTCTACAAAAATTATTTTTTGCTACATCAACATGTAAATTTGGACAAGGCTTTCAAGGGTTAGCAAGTATGACTCACGAGTGTAAAAAAAGAACTTCAAAACATTGTAAGTAGTGGAGATCATTGTTATATACATACATACATATGTAATGTATGGTAACCAAAACCTCACTGTACCTTACAAAATATTGGAAACTACCCATTTATTGGTTACTGTGTAAGTACGGTAAAATAGGATGTTTATAAGCACTTTCTCACCTATATTACCACTAAGTCCCGACCACCCAAGTTTGTTGGATTGGATACAACTTTATACAGGGCCATATCATAAATATTTTCTCTCAATTCTATATAGTACTTTAGACAATTCCTGTTGCAACTACTGTACTGTGCAAACAAGCTGATAAATCCTACCCAACTGTGTTTTCAGAGCTGAGATTCTAATAAACTCTTGGAAACGTCTGCTTATCGACCAACATTAAAATACCTAACTATTTTATTGGATTAGCCCAGACTTTCTACAAAGCCATAACATAAGCATTTCTCATTCTAACCATTACATTCAACAAGATGTTAAATCGTTCCCCACTGTGTTTTCAAAGCAGGGAAAGTTCTGGGAATTGATATTGATTATTTGATATTGACATTGTCAAAGTATGATAACACATAAACAGGAATGGTGATTCATTGCTTTATCATTGGAAGGTTTGTACTTCAGCTACTAACAGTAGAATAAACAGAGGAAATAGATGTAAAAAGATTAGAGCCCCCAGTGGCACAGCGGTATGTTTGCAGACTTACAATGCTAGAAACCGGTTTTGATACCTGTGGTGGGCACAGCACAGATAGCCCATTGTGTAGCTTTGTGCTTAATTACAAACAAACTAAACAAAAAGATTAGAAGAAACTCTCAGGAGATTTACTATCTGGAAGCAATAAAATAACTACAGAAAATAAGTGTAAAAAGGTGAGAAGCGTAAACTCTGACCATAAGTACTTTTAAATTTTGTGATCAATGCTAACAATACTATACATTTTATTTTGCATTTGCAATCTTTATTTTAATTATACTTTGATTAGTTAACTATAACCTGTAGAATCAAATATAATATTACAGTAAAGAAAATAACAAATAAAATATAAAGCTTTATTCAAAATAAAAATGTTTGATATTTAATTAAGAGGTTCTTTACTTTTCATTTGTTTTCACCATTTATTATTATAAAAGTAACTAAAATGTAAAAAATAGAAAAATTATTAGTTAAGATAATGAAAGAAAAATAATCAAAATCTTCATGTGGTATACGTGCCAGCAGCTTGTGCGTTACACTATTCAATACAGTAACGTGAACTACAAGTGTGCCGTGTAATTTTTAAATGCCAATAAAACAAAATTTAATGAATATAAATAGATGTATATTGTTATGAGAGTTAAGCTATTTAGAGTATACATCTGTGGCTTCCCAATACAATTTCCAGTTATTCTAAAACAAAACAACAAAAATAGAGAGGTTATTTAGATTTATTTCCTAATTTTTATGATGGTTACGAGGTCAGTCAAATTGACCAACACCATATAGAGCTAGCATTGATAAATAACAGATTAAATATAAAGTTTTATTCAATAAAATGTTTGATGATTACTCGGTAGGATATAGAGATTATGCAAATGAAACTTGACAATTTTCAGATAAAGAAAAGTATTTTTAATCATAAAATCAAAATTACTTTTCACATTGTATAGTGAACATTCTCAAAGAAAAAATTCATGAGCTAGTCTTTAATAAAATAAAACTTAATACGTAATCTAAAAACCTGATATTTTAGGTATGAAAGTCTTGTAATGTTTACTAACAATCTGCAAAATTTTGTAAAGATACGCTTATATTATAAAAAATTATAGTATAATTACTCTCGTGGATACATTTGTGGTTACAAACTGGGTGGATGCCACCTAGCCTGTATTGGTAGAATTAAGAGTACTTCCTTGAACACATGAACTACTGTTCTGAAACCAGTACTCTGACTACTTGAGATCATCTCCAATGCCTAAAACCAATGCAATATGAAGATAAATGATCATAAACGCATAATATGTGTCATCAGTTCATTGATTTCATACAGAAACATAGAACTCAGTTAATTACATAACTGCTTTTTAAATAATGCATAAAAGTTACCTTGTTTATTTTGAAATACAAATTTTAAACATGGTGAAGCTTTCCAATTGAAAGTTGTATATTTCATAATATTTGTATACATTGACAATCCACCACATTGCTTCCAAAAGCTTCAAGCAGTTTTTGGTGTACGTATTAAATGTTTAATGAAGAAAGTTTTACACAGATTAAACAGCAAACACGATACAAATTTTTAAGAAAAAAATGTATGATTCTGATATCACAGTGCTTTTGTGTGATATCCAGTGATGTTCTACAAGTACATGCAATACATTATAATGTAACTTTTACAAGTGTTATCTGTGGCCTAGTGGTATGGACTGTGAATCTAAGTTTTTGTAGTTCATGAACTGTTGCTGTAGAAATCACTCTACAGTTTGAATACACTGTGAGAGTGACAGTCAAATATTACTATTTGGCCAGACGAGTAATCTAAGTGGATGCTATTGACTAGTTTCCTTCACCTTAGTATGTCAGTTCAAAATTAGGTATAATTATTCATAGATAGTTTTGTGAAAACATTCAAAATAAGCTTACTGTGTATTAAGACTAAGGAAGACAGTATAGAACTTATGAAAATCATACTTGTTTTCATTGTATGATTTACCTGGTTTTGCATTTTGCTTATCTGGTTGTGGGATTGGATAATGAAACAATAATAAAAGTAGGTTGTTACTTTTTTACAAGCCCTGTTTTTTGTATACTGAGTGAAGTCATCAAACTTTTATGCCATCTTTTTTTTTTCTCTCTCTCTCTCTGTGAGGTTGGTTTAAGATGAGGTAAAAATAAATATTTATATGTAGTTAATATCTCTGTGATATATCTTGATAAAACATCTTACCTTTTCAGTACATGTGATATATGGACCAGCAGATCCTGTAAATCCTCCTGAATTTATAGAATATTACAGGTAATTTGTTTATACAAGTAGAAAGTTTTATTATAATGGATATATAGTCATGAAATATCCAATTTTCATAATGTTTGTTAAACAGGACTGTTGATGTCAACTCATATAAAAAAACATTAAAAACTAATTTTTAATTTGATTGTATAATTCCACCCACTGGTAAATTCTTTAAACTGTTTATTTTAGTTTTATGGTTTCTTGACTACTTAACCAAAGGATTAGTTTTTATCTTTTGTATTTCACCAGTTTATCTTCTCATACATTAGTAATTTTGTATTGTTCCTCTCATTTTGTAATATTTCTGTCTTTCTGTGTGTTTGTTATGAGTTATTTTTTAGCTCCAAGAGTTTTAGAAAAGATCTTTCCATAGCACTTATTTTGAATTTGTATTCATTTTGTTTCTAGTTATCTTGCTCGTAGCTTTAACTTTTATAAGCTTTGTAGCTGCAGGCTGTAAGTTACACTTCCTCATTTTATTCATTTTGACACACTTAGATGTTCAACAAATCTATAATGTAGGAAATGGATTTTAAGTATATTATAATTTTTGTATAAGAAATTACAGCCTATTCATAAAAGCTCATTAAACTGTAATAAAGGATTATTTTCATATAGTTAAGCAGAAAATGTTTCTGTTGTTTTTTGTTTTATTTCATAAAAAATTACCTAATCTATGTTTATATTAGAACTGAAAAGAAATGCTTTTTATCAAACCCCAAATAGTTTTAACCTGTTAATTGTTACGTCTTATAATAATTGTCATGTGAAAATGTTGAAACTTGACACCTGTATAATCAACCTTATATCCATTTACTCTTCTACTTATTGTTTTTTTTTACATAAAGAAATCTTTTTATCATATTTTCAGGTTTTCATTTATCAACATTTCTCACCTGCCATTTAAAGATGAGCCCAACTCTTTAAACTTCAAAGTAAACTTTTAAACATATAGGGTCCAGTCTTTCAACAGAACATTAAATTTAAAGCTTCCTGTACTTTTCATCTTTTGAGCCAGAAGGTATCTCTTATAGTTTTACTTTTAAAGAAGGAAACATTAAAAGAATTATAAAGTAACTGTATTATAATCAAACAAGCTGTTATATTGGTGTATTAAAGAGAACTTGAGAAAGTCCAAAATGATACTTATTATCAACTACTCCTAGTAATTAGTTTTCTGTAAAGGAAGTTGGGTGCCAAGACATCCTTTATGGACCAAAAGGTCCATTGTTATTATGTAGTTTATGTATTTATTATTATTGCTGTTGTTGGCTTGACAGTTCAAGTCAGTTATTTGGATATCTTCTTTGCTGTTCAAAATGAGCATATAAATACTTCCGTTTGGCAAAAACTAATAGATAAACAACAGTTTCTATAGTTTAATAGCTTCACACTAAATGCTGATTAATAGTATATTTTGTAGTCCAGAGTTAAGTCTACGTAATCTGTTTGTGTTGCTATGACTTATGATTATTTTTTGTAACTATACTAAACTTGTAAATAAACTAAACAACCTTGAATTAATCAAAAACAATAAGAAATCGTAATGGCAGTATCTGAGAAAGTCCAAAATGATACTTATTATCAACTCCTCTCTAATGCTGTATATGTTTACTAAAACTGAAAATGAGCTTGACTTTAATCTAACAAAATCTCTATACCTGATGAACCACATTTACCTACCATTTATTTCCCTTTAGAAATTCATAATGATGGATGTCCTGGTTGTCTTGTAGTTTGGGGTATAAATACTTAAATAAAAATTAGGTTTGTTTACCTTAAACCATTAACTTACTCACTTAATTTCTTTGGGAGAGAGACTAAGCATTTTGTTTACTCTTTGCAAAAGGTTAAATTATTCACATACTAAAGTAGAAACTGATGTAGAGGTCCTATCTAACATTTGTTGGATAGATGGCATTATATCTGTGTGGCTTTAGAAAAAAGGAATAACATTTAATTTCTTTTCTATTTACTTACAAATTAATGGCACATCATGCATATTTGTTTGTCACCAGAATGGAATCCATAAGCCTTATACCTTTGTTGTGGTATAGTTGATTGACAGTATTTTTGCCATCTGAACACATGGATCCTAGTTATTTAAAGATTAGAGCAATTAAATAATTTCTTTCCTTTGTTTTAATATAAGTAAAATTGTGCATTTAAGTTGTCACAACGTTAATTGAAAGATATTGAGTTGTTAGAGATGGTTACGAGGATTATTCCAGGAAGAAGGGGTTGTCATATTATGATGATTAGTTAAGATCTGTTAATTTGTTCTTTCTTGAAAAGAGAAGGGTAAGAGGGGTTTTGTTTGAAGTTTTAAAATTTGAGCTTTTCATGCTGAATTCTAAAGGCAGTTGGACTAGAGGTCATAAATGTAAGAATTGGGAAGGTTAATTACATCTTCAGTTGAACAAGTTTTATTTGTGTAATAGGGTGGTGGTAAACTGTTGAACTAATTGGCATCTACAATGGTAAATTTTGTTTCAGGAGTTTAAAAGTTCATGAATAATTGAGGTATCAAACCTGAGTGTAGTAATTAGTTTTCTGTAAAGGAAGTTGGGTGCCAAGACATCCTTTATGGACCAAAAGGTCCATTGTTATTATGTAGTTTATGTATTTATTATTATTGCTGTTGTTGGCTCGACAGTTCAAGTCAGTTATTTGGATATCTTCTTTGCTGTTCAAAATGACCATATAAATACTTCCGTTTGCCAAAAACTAATAGATAAACAACAGTTTCTATAGTTTAATAGCTTCATGCTAAATGCTGTATAATAGTATCTTTTGTAGTCCAGAGTTAAGTCTACATAATCTGTTTGTGTTGCTATGACTTAATAAAGAACTCTGATCAACTGTATGATGCCTTTTAGACTCATCAATTGATTAAATTCAACTAAACAGTTTGGATAGTTGGAATAATCAGAAACACTAGTTTAGATTAGTTGATTATTTTTTGTAACTATACTAAACTTGTAATTAAACTAAACAACCTTGAATTAATCAAAAACAATAAGAAATCGTAATGGCAGTATTTTGATTACTTGAATAGTGGGAACAATAATAATCAGAAACACTAATTTAAATTATTTGATTATTTTCATGACATTAATCACTTCAATTGCAGTTTTGGTTAATTGATTATTTTATGTGTCACTAATTGATGTTCATAGGTAATCAATTATATCAAGTTAATCACCCAGCTGTAATAGAAGATATTTCAATAGTATATTGTAAATGAATATTGAAAACTGTCAAGCTCATTAACTTCTTATTTTCTTGATCTTATTTCTAACAGTTACCAAGTTTTGTTTTTTGTTACTTATTTTGATGGAGCTGAAAAACATAAAAAAAAATGATAAGTGAATGTTTGTATTCTTTCAATTCATTATATTTTGAAGTCCTGTTTGATGGCTTTTAAAAGAGCAAACATGTGAATGACAGCATGATATTTTCTAAATACATCTCTTTGTGTTTTTATCTAGAAGAAAAAGAGTAGATCTGTTGAAAAATTAAGATCATTTTTTTCTATTGTTTTTACTTTTTTATTTTAGTATTTGATCACAATGCATCAAAACATTTTTTGACAACTTGTGTTTCTTGTCTAATTTATCTTCGATACATAAGATATCTGGTTTACTTTTCTTGTAATATTCACACCCACTGGTAAGTCCATTTTTTTCCCTATTCACATTGTTTACGTTATAGATGTTTCAATATAATTGTTACACACAAGGTCTAATTGAAAGTGTTTTCAGCAATATACAGCAAATGAGAAGTTCAAATCTGATTCATTATTGTTCCTACAAATTTATTTTCAGTTAAAATCAGTGCTTTCTTATTTTCTTTGTTTAAACAAGCACACACGAGAAATGTATACTTTTTATTAAACAAACTTGATACACAACATTAATGTTAATAGATGTATGTACATGTAAAAATCACTTCCGATTGGTTTTATCTATTGTGTATTTACATTTTATGTGGAAAATTCTAATAATTTAGTAAAATTTCAATAGGTTCCTTTAGATTAGTATGAGAGATACTACAAATTTCCATATGGTTTGTGCTATTTTAAAGATATAGGTTTCATCTGTGTTTCTATCCTTGGAAAAAATTAAGGGCATCTAGGAAGGAAGAAGTTTGTAATTAAGAAAGTTTTACCTTATTTACAATTTAAGTAAAATATACATTATAGTAGGTATACAAATAGTTATTTTGTATGATACACGTAAATACAATTTAAATATTTCTTAACATAGATCTAATATCATAAAACATATTTTATTCTTTCAGAGCTGTCATTCCTAAACCTAGTATGACAGTATTACCAGAAAACATAGGGCACTATCCACAACTGGAAGCTCCAGAAGCAACTGCGGATGCATACATCAGTTTCTTGGAGACTATCTCCTCTTAACTTACTTCAAGTATAAAAAAGAAAGTTTTTTTTCCAAAGATAAAAACTATCTTGTTACGATCATGAACAAAACACATGCAAAATTGTTGTAGTTGTGTAAAATACCTGACCAAACCCATCAGTGTTATGTACAATTTACTCTGGAATGAACATGCGTTCTATAAACCTAACTATTTAGTTAAAATTATATAGTTTCCCAAAGTATTAAAATATGTGACTATGATAATGCGCATTCATTATCAAAATGTTAATCAGTAATTTTATTGCACATACATTAGTTTAATCATGTGAGTATAGTTTTATTAATTACATGCGTTTTCCAACACACTGAAAGAATGAAATAATATATAAATAAAGAATTTGGTATGACTTGCTTGGTAGGTGGAATTTTTGGAATCAACTCTGTGAACATATCAAATTATTTATGAGTGAAGAAAGTGTTTGATTTATTTCTAATTCATTAAATGTATTTTGAAGTATACTTTTAATGTTTTGAATCTGTTGAATGGTGATTAATACTTAAAACTGTACTGTAACATGTTTCTCCATGCTGAGATTAATACTTCAGGAACTAAAGGGCACTTATAAATTCAACTTTCCACTTCCATTTCATTTAATCTTTCATTTGAGAGTTGTTCGTATTAAATTACAGAGACAAGTTTTACTTGCTTTCTTTTTAAGAATGACACAGTGAGCCACTAGGATATTGAATTAGCTATTCTAAACTTAGAGAATTCTATTATTTTACTTAATGTTTAGTTTCTGCTTTATAATACTGTTTTTGTAAATTGATATTCAACTAAAAGCATTAAAGAGTAAAATGCGTAGGCTTATTAATTTGTAATATATAGAAAGTTTAGCAGAGCCCCAGCTATATTGTGGTCACTTTACCTCTTGCAACATTTAATAAGTAAAGTTTTGAACATCTTTCTGCTTAATAACACCAAATATCAAATATTGTTAATAGTTATATTGCTGATAATTGTTAAATCAAAAGAGAGAGAGAGAGGTGACATAAGCTCTGTGGCATCATTTAACTAATACATACAGTGTTGAAATCTGAATAGCTAGGGAATTTTTACTACCTATTTATTGTGTCACATCTGGTCAGTGTAAGACTATAATTTGAAGTTACAGCACAGTTTAGTGTGCCGTAAAAAGTGAATAGAAGATTCTGATCATTAAATGCAACATTAGGCAGATAAAGTACGTGTTAGTAGTTTAAAACTTTTGAAGAAAATAAGATAATGCTGTACAACAGCATTGCTCACAATTTGATGTCATTATTCGTACAGTTTGTGAATCTATAATGTATCTGGTGCTCGAGTAGAGTTAATGGATGTTTATATGAATTTTAGTGTAGTGTATTTTTGTGCCAAAGACAAATCGTTCTTTTACTTGTTTCAACCTAATTATTGGAATAAATTTGTAGAAAAAACTTTTATGCACATGAATAAATATATTTTACTTAAATAACTTTCTGGTGTCTTAGTTTATCATTATTTTAATCAAAGCATAATAATATCATTATATACTAATTGAAAATGGTAATGTTCATGAAAAATAGTTTATCCTTCTATTAAGAGCCAGACTTAACCTAATCCTAATGGGTATGTGAAACGGAACATTTAACAGACATTCTTCATAAATGAACTAAACCATTTGGTGAACATTTTAGTCTGTGTATTAGTAATAAAGATTTACGGTGCTTAAAAATTACTTTAATTCAAATAGAATTTGAAAATGATGTATATCATAATTTTATATAAAACACTTTGATGTGTTATTTAAAAACAAATGTTTTCCATGACACTAACCATTCATTGGCTAACCTCATCCACCATGCTTATGTAATTACACTTGTTATACTTCCTCCATTTTTATTTTACATGTTTCTTTGTCTAGAAGAAAGGTTAGGTTTTGCCCAAAGCTAAGACCATCTGTTTGTTATTGCTCACTCTAGTTTTTAGTTTTCGGATACGACAAACATAGCCCTGATCTAGGTGGTATACCTATATAGTATGATGTGAATCAGATTAAGTGAATCGTAATTATTATTAATTTTATTTAAGTTATTTATTATAGTTTTATATGTACATGAATATGAGCAATTGACCTTTAAACTATATATATTTAACTGAAAATTGAACATACCCTATAATAATAATAATCCCTGTAGACTCCCACTGGAGCATATGGCCCCAACAACACCTC